ATTGTATAATTAACATTAAGTAATATATAAGAGATTCGATTAGAATTTTAGTCAAACTTCTTTATTTTTTTGAATTACCCGATATCATAATACAACTTTGAATAAAGAAGCGATTTGATATATAAAAACATAGCAAAAAAACAGTGGATCAAACATTCAATAGTTTATATTAATTGCCAATGCCGAAAGTATCTAAAATAAAAGCTAAAGTATATAAAGCGGCTCAAGCATCAGTATATGCATGAAAAGCAGCTTAATGTAGCAAACAAATTAATGATATTAGTCAAACATTAGCACAAATGGACGATAATAAATTACAATCAATTTTTCAAAGTATTATTCAACCAACTAATGATCAAAAAACAACCCGAATAACACTTCGTCAAAAATTAATTAATATTATTGAACAATTACCTGACAATCAATTGAAGTCTGCAATATATTTATTTAACACTATGTGTTATTCTAATGGGCCAAATGATGGTAAATTACTTTCATCGTTTTTGCAAGACAAAACATTAAATTTTATAACAACATCTCTCTACAAATCATGTCAAGATCCAAGTTCATTAATTCAAAACAATAAAACGTTGCAAAAAAAATAATAAATCAACTTGAACATTCAAATGCTAAAAAAAATCAGAAGGTTAAGCAGTTAGTAGAAACTTTGTCACAATATAAGCGTAAACAAAGACAGCATATTTCAAAAGTACGTGCTGCTGCCCGTAAGCCTCAACTTGCAAATTCACAAAGTTTGAATGCAAGTATTCAAGAAATTATAATGAAAGACAAACACCATTATACATCACAATTTATAAATATGGCCACACAAGTATCACAAATTGGCCAAATATCATTTCGAAGCACTGTACAAGCTACACAGCTAATCTTAGGTTTTTTGACCAGAAAAGGTTTATCATTGTCAATTTTAGATAGATCAGTTGTTCGGTGAAATCAAGAAATTAGCAAAGTTCATATTGATCAAATTTTAAATAAAAGAAATTTTTCTCACTTTTTTACTCTTGGAATAATGATCGATGAGTCAACTCGCAGTCAGCAAAAAATTTTTGTAATATGCATTTTATTCTGGAACTCAAGAATGAATCAACTTGATTTTCAGGTATTAGAGATGAAAGACTTAGCAAGTTGTACGGGAAAATCCGTAGCTCAAGCAATATACAATACCTTCAATCATTTTAAAATTAATCCTCATCAATGTCTTGTATGTGTTTTAGACAATACAAATTACATAAGTGGAAAGTCTGGTGGCACAATTACTTTATTCAACAAAATAAGTAATATGAAAATATTTCGAATACCGTGTGGACTTCACGTTGCACATATTGTTATGAATAACTTTGAGGAAGTAGCTTTTGGTAAGCTGCCTAATATTAGCGGGTTTTCACAAAAAAAGCACCCTGCAAATCTTTTGTATTTAGTCTGGGACCTTCACGATAGTTATAGTAAAACTGATAAAGACAAACTAATGGGTATTCGCTCTGACTACATTTACAAACTCTATAATGAACTATTTAAATATCAATTAACAAAATATCAACAGCCACTTCGATCAAGATGGCTTTATAAATTGCTATGTGCTGAGCAATATCTTGAACATAAAGATCTTCATATCTGATTTTCCAAGTGGTTTTTGTCTCAACTTAAAGCTTGAACTAATACACCAAAATCATACATTAAAAAATAGGAATTGCTTCAAAAGTGGCTTCACGATCCAATTTTAAACATACAAATTAAATTTTTGGTTCGATTTGGAAAAGACTTTTATCATTCAATGGCTAAATTTTTAACAGAATATGACTTTGAATTATATTTATTAGACCAAACTTCTAAACCAACAAATCTTCTTCCCGGAAGACGTGCACATCAGATGCCCAAATTCATAACTTGTACAATAGCAAACCTTCAAAATATTATAGAGGATCCCTATTTATTTTTTAAAGAAGAATTATTAGAAAGTGCTGACATATTAAATGATGATCAATTAAATAAGCTTACTTCAGATATTGAACGTGGTACTCAAAAGGCATTAGAGCTCTACCAAAAATGGTTAAATTGTTGGTTACATCTGCCACTGAGTATTTGTCGCCTGGGTGGAAAATATGGATGAGAGTTTGCACGATGTTTTGCTCATATTATTTTGAAGACACCTTTGCTATCTGCACCTTCATTACGAGAATTATGTTATATGAAATTTCTTGAATTGGATATTGAAGATGGCGAGTTTAATGACTTTGGTCTATCAGATGCATTAAACGATCCAACATTTAATTATGAATTTCACCACTTTATTCAAGAAAGTCAAAAGTCATTAGACCAATTTCCTAAAGTATTTGAATTTGTCAAACATCGAATCTGGTACATCATGGTCCACCAACAACAGGTCGAAGGCCTTTTCAATAAATGGGACCTTAAAACCCATTCAAATATGACAAGTAATCTTCAGCAGTCCAAATTACGATTAGCAAATACACCACTTAAAGAAATCGGTTGTAATTCTACAAATTTAATGGAACTAAGAGCCAAAAAACGTCAACAGCAACTGACTTCAACGTGTAAACAAAACTTAGATCAAGAAAATTTCAAAGATGACGAATGTGAAAAAAGAGCGAATGTTTTATTTGAAAATTTCTTCGGCAAAAAATAGAATTTTAATTTTATTAATCAAACGTTATTGTTATCATTATCATTTTATTATACATTAAATATTACATTATATTATATTTGATATATTACATTATATTGTATTTGATATATTACATTATATTGTATTGATAAATTACCATTTTATCGTATTTATATATTGTATCGATTTATTATAAAAATTGATCATTGTTCGTGTAACCTGAAAAATCTGTGATATAATACATACCATAAGTTTGCTAACATAGTTTTGATTACTTAGTTGATGTCGCACCCTAATGCGGTATGTTATTATAAAATGCGTCATTTTTAGAAAATACAATTTATAAACCCAATTTATAAACAATGCTTAATAGATATACAGTATTAGATATTACCATTAACAACTAGTTACGATTTTGAAATTTGTTAACTTTATATTATTTCGTTATATTATCTAATCAATAATTTCCGAAATGTGTTTTTGAGATTATTAATAACTTATGTAATAGTTAAATTTTTATACCGAATATTCATAGATTGAAAATTACATGAATACATATGCCTTTAAATATATCGTTAGTCCAGAAATAACGACACTCAATTCGAAATATTCAATTCCTGGTTTTCCTTAGTGACCATATGGATAAATTGTATTTTTAATTAGGTATATTTTTATATAAACTGCCACCGTTAAATTTACTTTGCAATAAATTTATAGTATAGTATAAGCCATAACAGTCTCTATTGCATCTCTAATATCAATTTTTCGATTATGATGTCATTAATATTAGTGATTATAGTAGTCGATCTTAAAGAATCGATTTTATTTAGTCAACTAATGGTAAAATAAAGTCTACTAGTTCTGTCTTTATGTTCTGAGAGTCAATTAATGAATTTTATATAATTTAACAATAAATATAATAAAATAAGCCAAGTCAGTGTTGAGTATATCTTATGATCTTAGGGCGATGCATTCCTAGGAAATTATTCATTTTAATAGTATAAGACAATAATAAAAAGGATTCTGATGTGTCCACCCTTATACGCGACCCTTTGTAGCCAGCATAGACATTTATACACTGACGCTATAATAATAAAGATTCATGTGCAAGTCATTACAAATTACGACTTCATATATAGTAGCCTATTTCCCATTGGCATTTCTATAGATGCCAGTTGTTGATTGTAAGCTATCGGCTCATTAAGACGTATAAAGCATATCATCATAGTTATCACCATCTTTCGCATAATTCAAATAATAGATACAATAAAATATATCTACTGCATAACGAGAACTTGGGAACATATTGTAAATTTTTTTTCAAATTCAATAACTAGAAAGATTAATATATTAATTTCGAAGCTCAGCTAATAATATAAACAATCCAAGTAAAAAAATAAAATTTGCATGCAAACTATTGTTTATGAGTTTATATACAGTGCCTGGCCATATTATTGTGGACACTTTTCTAAAATTAATTTCTAGAAATCGGGTAAGTAAACGTTGT